GCAGGCTGCCTTCAGAGCTAGTCCAGGGTTCTATATTTGTACAGGAAGAAGTTGAGCAAGGAGCATGAGTGTTGTAATGGTAAAGCTCCCTGATTTAACTGTATTACCTTCTCCAGGACACCCACAAGGTGCTGCCTACTCCAGAGAAGGAGTTCTGCAGCTGTGTGCCAGTACAGGAAACCCCACTGCCAAGGCATGGGATGGAAGGCAAACCAAGAGTCGGGGCCCTTGTGTGAATATAACCTTCACCTCCAGATAATATTTGCAGATTACAGTAAACTTCCGATAATCTGGCACCTTTAGGACCCAGGGGGTGCTGGATTATCAGATATGCCGGACTATCAGAAGGGGGGGCTACGAGGGGTCTGGAGTGGGGTGGGAGGGGATGCCACCCTAGACCCCTCATAGCCCCCCCCTTACGATAGTCAGGCTCTGCCCCAGGAGTCCCTGATTCAGCCGCTGCTGGTCAGTTTCAGCAGCCGGTGGATCGGGGGCGCCTGCAGCAGAGCAGCTGGAGTGCTGGCCGCGGCGCACCCCGAGAGCAGAGCAGCTGGGGTGCTGCTGGGTTGGTCCCATAGCACTGCCCCTCGGGGCTGCGGGACCAACCCGGCAGCACCCCAGTTGCTCTTGGGGACGCCTGGGGCAGAGCAGCTGGAGTGCTGCCGGGTTGGTCCCGCAGTGCCAAAGGACGGCGCTGCGGGACCAACCCGGTAGCACTCCAGCTGCTCTGCTCCCAGCTTCCCCGATTCAGCTGCTGGTCAGTTTCAGCAGCAGCTGAATGGGGGAAGCCTGTCCGGCTGCCCCAGCACTTCCGGGTTCCTGATGGTGCCGGACCATCAGGAGTCCCGGAGCATTTGATGCTGGACTAATGGAGTCTTACCGTAGTAGGTTCTGGGAATGGGACAAACCCTCCTTCCAGCATGCTGATATGGGTCAAACTGCTGTAGGCAAAACTTGCAGGGTCTCTCATGTCCTTCCCTAGGAGTTTCCCCACTGGCTGAAGACACTCCCCCCTCCCCCTCCCCCCCAAGGTGGTCAGAGTTGGAATGATGCATCATCAGAGACTTTTCAGACAGCAGAGCAAGTCATTCCATTAGGAGGTCTCCCTATTGATGGCAGGTTAGGGTCCACCAAAAATCTTCATTGGCATTTTCCTGTATCTTCCATCAGCCTATTTCAGAACCTCTGTTTTGCTATAGTTTGTGAGATTTTTATTTCTCCTTGAAAAGATTTAGTGCCTTAATGGACATCAACCCGTGACACACAGAAATGCTCTCTTCTTAATATCCCAAACAAAAAGATTAGAAATGCATCTACATTCTTTCCCCACAGCAGAAATAAATCACATCAGCAATTTGCTGGAACGACCTCTAACGTATCCTTACCTGTGAACACTTCTTCCCTTCACCCTTCCTCCCTGGTTATACACTCCAGTAATCTGCTTTCAGATTTTGCCTTGCCAGTCATTTCAATGCATTTACTTATTAAATGGAATATGAGCTGCAGCACTTACTGGAATTGCCTGGGAGTCTCAATGAGACAGTTTTGATCCAGCTGAGTTTTAATATAAGATTATAAACACAGGTATCTTCTTTCAACAAAAATGAAAATTAAAGGGGACTCAGTCTTTTAATGGCACCTCATACGTGCCATAGCTTCATAGGTATGCAGTATCTACATGTGCCAGAGCCCATGTTTATGCACACAGACAGCATGTGTCTGAAAAGCTGGTAGTTAGACATATGACTGGTCTGCTTGCGCAAAAAAAGTGTGAATGCAAAAAAAGAGCATCCCCAATTCTATGTAAAAATTGACTGCTATGGAAAATGTGACTCTCCGGCTACGTCTAGACTGGCAAGTTTTCTGCTTTTGCGGAAACTTGCCAGCTGTCTACACTGGCTGCTCGAATTTCTGCAAGAACACTGACAATCTAATGTAAGATTGTCAGTGTTCTTGTGGAAATGCTATGCTGCTCCTGTTTGGGCAAAAGCCCTCTTGCACAAATGCTTTTGCGCAAGAGGGCCAGTGTAGACAACACAGTATTGTTTTGTGTGAAAGAGCCCCGATGGCGAAAATGGCAATCGGGGCTTTCTTGCACAAAACTGTGTCTAGATTGGCACGGACGCTTTTCCGCAAAAAGTGCTTTTCCATTAAAAGCATTTGTGGAAAATCATGCCAGTCTAGACATAGCCTCCATGTCTAGGAGGTTTGTTATCTATTTTTCATTGGGACAAACTATTTTACAATCAAATGGATGGAAATATGCTGGAATCAGTGTTGATTTAAGAGGCTGCTCTACAGCACAGAGATGAACAAGAGTTTAATGTCTGTCTCAAAGATCTAAAACAGAGACCTTAACTTGGTGAGTCAGATCCTCCAAGTCCTACTAATGGATGTAGCCCCACTGAGTTAAATGGGGATTACTCATGTGAACAATCATGGGACTGGATGAACTGCATTTGCAGACCGCCAGATGGGAGGGTGGTGGTAATGCACTATGCACAATTGTTTTCCAACAAGCAGAAACAATAAAACTGAAATAAGAACTATCCACTGACCATCAACTTACTGTAAATCACTAAATTATGGTCAAAGCTAACATGGTAAGTGAAACAAGACTAAGTGCCTCAGCATCTGTCACTACAGCCACAGCTATATAAGAGAGACAGAGGCACACAGAGCATACTGGGATGAAAGTGAAATAACACATGGCTAGATGATGGCTAACATTCTTTAAAAAAACAAACTAGCTCTCTCTCAAATCTCATTCTGGTTATTAATAGAATCAGTAATCCTTGGCACTCCTAAACTCCGGCATACTCCAGACTCGCCTGGTTGGTTCACTGTCTCGCTCCACATCCTCTGAAATGGTCTTGATGTTGCTGCTGAATGGGGAAATCCTGGCCCGGGATTTAAATGTAATGAGAGAGAGGCTGGTTTTGTGCTTTGTGTTCCATTGCCTAGCAAGCTTCTTGGCCTCTTCTTCCTCTTTGATTTTCTCAGTGGCTTCCTGCAGGACAGAGCGGAAGAGACGGGCAACTTCTTGTACCTCTGGCTCATATTCAGCAATAAGTTGTCGTAATCTGAAAGTACAATCAATGCACAACTTTAATTTTAAAAAAGCTGAGCATCAGTCCACTGTTTGATACAGAAATTCAACTCCCATTGAGAATGGATTTGGTCACTTTTTGGCACTTTAACTTGGGGATATTTCATAAGCCCACAATGTATGATAAGACAGTTGTTAGTCCAGATACATTTAGTACAATGCCGGTCTGTGCTGCAAATCAGGGTGTATCTAAATGTTTTCAGGGAGGATCTCAAAGTTGTTTATAGACACTAATGAATTTAGCTTCATTACATTACTGGAGAATGAAAAGTATTATTTCATTTGCATGCTGAGAAGCAGAGTGATTTATTGAAGGCCACCAGTAAATCAGTGGGGGCATGTCTACACTACAAAGTTAGTTCGAACTAACGGATGTTAGTTCGAACTAACTTTCATAGCCGCTACACGAGCGCTCTGTTACTTCGAATTAAATTCGAACTAACGGAGCGCTTAGTTCGAACTAGGTAATCCTCATTCCACGAGGATTAAGCCTAGTTCGAATTTACTAGTTCGAATTAAGGGCTGTGTAGACCCTTATTCGAACTAGTGGGAGGCTAGCCCTCCCCAGGTTTCCCTGGTGGCCACTCTGGCCAACACCAGGGAAACTCTATTGCCCCCATCCCGGTACCGGACCCCTTAAAGGGGCACGGGCTGGCTACGGTGCCCGTGCCAGGTGCAAGCCTGCCAGCACCCAGCCAGCAGACCCTGCACCTGGCACAGATCGAGCCACCCACCCGATGCCCTCCCCCTTTTTCCGGGACCAGGCTGGCGGCTCCCGGGAGATTGCCCAGGACCGCGGTCCAGTGAGACCCCCGACCCTGAGCCCTGAGCTTACAGTGGCCGTCCTGGGTCAGACTAAAGGTCCATCTAGCTCAGTAGCCTGTCTGCTGACAGCAGCCAACCCTGGGGACCCTGGAGGGGATGGACCAAAGACAGTGACCAAGCCACTTGTCTCGTGTCATCCCTTTCCAGCCTTCCACAAACTTTGGGCAGGGACACCACTCCTACCCCCTGGCTAATAGCACTCCATGGACCCAACCTCCATGACTTGATCTCACTTCCCTTTAACCTCTGTTCTAGTTCTAGCCTTCACAGCCTCCTGCAGCAAGGAGTTCCACAGGTTGACTCTTTGCTTTGTGAAGAACAACTTTCTCTTACTAGTTTGAAGCCTGCTACCCATTCCTTTCCTCTGGTGTCCTCTAGTCCTTCTTTATGGGAACTAATGAAGAACTTTTCTGTATGCACCCTCTCCACCCAACTCCTGCTTTTAGAGACCTCTATCCTGTCCCCCCTTCATCTCCTCTTTTCTAAGCTGAAAAGTCCCAGTCTCTTTAGCCTCTCTTCATATGGGACCTGTTCCCAACCCCTGATCATTTTAGTTGCCCTCCCCTCTCCCAGCCCCTCTCTTCCCCTCTCCCACCTGCTTTTCCCAGTCTCCCCCAGTTTTGTTCAACAAAGACAGATTCTGTTTTTGAACACAATTGTCCTTTATTTTGTACATCAAGAAGAGGGGCTAGGGAAGGGTAAGTGGAAGGAGGTGAGGGAGGAATGGGGCACGAGCCCTCGATGGGGAGGACTGGGCTGGCTCTGCGGGCTTTTGGGGTGGAAGCTCTCCTGCAGCCCCCCCGATTGCCCCCTCTCCCCAGATGGCAGCCTGCGGCAAGTGCAGTCTGGCTGATGGCCGAGTGCTGTGATGTGCCCAGTGTGGGTACTCTGGGCACTCCAAGCCAGGACTGCTTTGCAAGCGGGGCACCCCTGAGAACTGTCTGTCCGGGGTGGGTGTCGGGATCCTTTAAGCGCAGCCCTCGGCTAGCCTGAGACAGCATCTCCATGCTCTAAGTCCTCCTCTGATGCCCTGCTGGCACTGCTTCTGGCCATCCTTAAGCCTTGTTCAGGGTCCACTTAATGTGGACATGCTAGTTCGAATTAGCAAAACGCTAATTCGAACTAGTTTTTTAGTCTGGATCCGTTAGTTAATTCGAACTAAGCTAATTCGAACTAAGTTAGTTCGAATTAACGTTGTAGTGTAGACGTATCTTGGCAGAACTAACTTGTAAACAAAATCTTACCATTAGGCTCTGCTCCCACCTGCACTTGGGAAGCATGCAGTTCCATTCACCAGGCTCATACTGATAGCATTTAATTAGAATATATATGCAAACGAATTACACCATAAACAACAAAGATAAAATGTTTAATTCTGAGAGCTGCATGTATTTCATAATCAAAACTTAAAGCATTTGTAGATCCTTCTATATAATTTAATAGTGGTGAAAGCAATAGACTTCTATGGAAATAACATGTGATTTTGCAGAAATTGTCCTGAATACATAAAGAATGGAGTGCTTTCTATAGGTTTTTTTAACTATCCTATGAAATGTACCAGGGAATTATATCTTTTCTATATAATTGTATAAGCTGACTTTAAAATTTTATAGAAAGATTATCATTTCCTTGTATGCCAAAGGACTTTTTCATGTGGGATAAAGTAAATCCACATGCAAATTACAGCTATTTGATATTTATTGTGCAAGAATATCATTGTAATGTATGACAATGGTGAATGACACTGAATATGTTTTAATAATCATTTTACCCTGACAATTCTATGAGCACTGTCCAGTGCTACCTGGTGCTAAGTGCATTCAACTTCAATGAAAGCTAGTAGGAGTTGAAGATGCTGTGAATCTTTCAAGAGTGAGCCTTCAGTGTCTGATCCAAAGCCCATTAAAGTTGATGGAAAATCTCCCATTGACCTCAGTGAGCAGTTCCTTAACATAATAAAGGCCTTAGAACTTTGACCATTGGAGGGTCTAAGAACCCATTCATACTCTTAGTTGGACTGAGAGGGTCTGACTCCACCAATCGTAAAGACATGAATATTTAGGATGTACATAAGCTGCACATTCTTTTACCAATTAGAATAATAGGCTGAACTGACTCAGATATAGAGACTGAACAAATGGGGTAGGAGTCATGTTTACAGATTAATGTGTAATGCTGTTAATTGATAGAGCCAATTACTGAGAAAGTATCACTCAGGCTGAGTTCTTGTCTATTTGCAAGGTGCAATTAGCAAATGGTTTTACTTCATTCACTCTATTATAGTTAGAAACTTCTAAAGATGGGACTATCCAAAAATGAGGTTCTTTCCACACCAATGAAATCTCAGCAGGCATGAAAAATGCCCTCAAGGGATCTTTCACCTTACAAGAATGAGTTCAGTGCTACATTCCTGTGTTAGTACTCACACCTCAGCTTAGTAAAACTGAAATAATTTTCTGACTCAGGCTAACTATTCACCATCCTAGCAGTCTTTTGGACAGTCTTTTCACTTCTGACTTTTCATGATCAATGGCTATAGCATTTGAATAGGAGTATGTTTCAATTAACAGAACCCTCTCCTCCAAGTCTCAGATTCTTTCCACCTCACCTCCAATTTAATTGTGTTGCTTTTTGGCTCCCTAGGACAAGTTAATTATTTTCTATGCTTTTTTACATTAAGGTAACTTGGAACTCAGGCAAAACTCTGTAGGAGTGTAGGACCACTTCATAATCTTTCCAAATGTTGTTTGAACAGTTAGCTAACTACTGTAAAGCCCTTTAGATAAAAGGGTTATATAAAAAACATGTCTGGACAAGCGATTTCCATTAAGTTCTAGCAGTAGTTTCTCCCCAGCAGCTGCAGCCCTGAAGCTGGGAAAAGTTTGCCTCTTTCTCTGGCAGCCACAGCCCTGCATGTTTCAATTTCCTCCCACACTCTATTCTCACCCCACTATCCCCCACAAACCTTTTATATTCCTCACCACATTCAACCCTGAAGACACCACTTCTCATTATATGTGCGTCTTCTCAAGGGTCCAACACCAAATTAGTGGAGCCATGCCTGCGCAGCTCCACTAATTAGGTGGGTGTCCCTTCATATTCTCATGTATAGCCATCCAGGTGCACACTTTGGAGGGGACAATCCATGGACAACCTGAATGGAGCTAATGAACCACTGGTAGTTCATGGGCCACAGCTTGAACTTCTGGTCTCTATAATTAGTCTTGCCATAAGTGCTGGGGACTTGACTGGAACAACTCCTCCCTGATCAATTCCTTCCCCTCCCACCAGTGCCTCCTGCCAGCTGATGATCCCACCAATCAGTGCCCTCCTTATCCTCCCAGTGCCTCCTGCTCAGTACAGTCAACTATTCTGCCACATGCAGCAGGCACTGGAGAGGAGGAGAGAGGGTGGGCATGCTTGGCTAAGAAGCAGAACAGAGTGGGAAGAGATGGGTATGAGTGCCTGGGGAAGGGATAATGAGGGTATGGGAAGAAGCATTGTGGGGACTTGGGAAAAGGAATGGAGTGAGGGTAGGGCATGGGACAGTCTGAGGTTGAGGACACACACACACACACACACACACACACACCCCCCACCCCTACCCATTCCAGACAGTGACATCTGAGAAACAGTACCTGATGTGGGAAACCACTACCATACACACAATTTATTAATTACAAGGCAGTCATGTGAGGGACCGCACAGAAAGTTACAAATTCCGTGCTCAGTCCTGCATAGTCTACTCAGCACAATCCCATTGGTTGGGGAGCACCACGTTCCCCCTCCTCTCAAGCTCATAGTTATTAATAGACACACATGGCCCCTGCAGCCTGTGCAAGGGCAGGGCCGACAGGAAGGCTGCCTCAGAAATGTGCTGAGCTGCTGGCCAGGAGTCACTCCAGCTCTTTCCTCCCCCATCCTTCTGCCCCCCACTCCTACCTCCTATCCCTTATAACCCAAACCTCTGTCCTATACTGCACCCATACACCCTCCCAGAACCTGCACCCAAGTCCCCTGCTCCATGTCACAACCCCCTCCTGCTCTAGGTCACATCCCAAACCCCTGTACCCCAGTCCAGTGCCCAGATCACAACAATCCCTTCTGAACCCTAATCTCTTACCCCAAGCTCCGTTCTGCACCCAACCT